TTCTTGGAGCAAATAATGGTAGCGTTCTGTCCTTCATTAGATTGCTCAAAAGCAATTCCCTAAATATCATATTTTTTTAGAACCTATTCAGGATGTCAATATGGTTTATATGAACAGATTTCATATAGCAAATTTTATTTGTATTCTTCAGTGAATTTGAATTTGAGGAAGATAAAACCACTCATTTTTTTAAAAAACCCATTTACTATTGGGCAGAAGAGAAACTCTTTGGCACTCTTAAAATTAATTGACTAGGGAAAAAATCCTGTAACTCAATGTCATTATAAACTAACTTTAATAATAGAGATCTAAATCTTTTTCTCTTTCAGAATAAAGAGAAAAATATCTGAAATTCAGGGAATTCACTGCTGTTATTCCTTAGAACTTCTCATTTCTCAAATACTATCGGGTCTAGTAATAATGTCGTTTTTAACATTCGTTTAAAATCTTGCTTGGCGTTGACTTGTATTGACATAACCTTCAAACACGTGGTATCTACAGAACGTGTGAAGTGCAATTAACAAGTTTTGCTTGAAAAAGTTTGTGTTTGGTTTGGTTTTTGTTGCAAAACTAGGGCTAAGAAGATGGTGGATGAAGAGCATATTCGGCACTGCATGCTTTACGGGTTCCAATTAGGAAGAAAAGCAAGTGAGGCTGCAAAAAACATCTGTAGTGCTCTTGGTCAAGATGCAGTTAGCGCCAGAAAATGCCAGCGTTGGTTTGAGAAATTTCGCGAGGGAAATTTTTCGTTAGATGTCAAGAGTGGTCGAGGCCATGTGTCCAATTTTGATCAAGAAGCTCTTCAAGCTCTTTTGGTGCAAAATCCTCAAATTACCCAACAAGAGTTTGCGACAACTTTAAATTGTTCACAGAAAACAATTTCCAATCAATTGCGTGCACTTGGCAAAGTCCAAAAGTTTGGAAAATGGGTTCCTCATGAGTTGACCGACAACAACCGTAATCATAGAGTCACAATTTGCAGTTCGCTCCTCTCTCGTCAAAACCGTTTGCCGTTTTTAGAGCAAATTGTTACCGGAGATGAACAATGGGTGCTGTATGTTAATTTGAAAAGGCGGCCTCAATGGTTGGACAAAAATGAGGCTCCGCAGCCCACGCCAAAACCTGACTTGCATGCGAAAAAAGTGATGTTGTGTGTTTGATGGAATTTTAAAGGAATTCTTCATTATGAACTTTTACCATCTACCCAAACCATTACAAGTGCAGTGTATAGTGCCCAATTGGAAAGGTTAGCCCAAGCTTTAAGAGAAAAAGAACCCGCGCTGATTAATCGGAAGGGCGTAATTCTTCACCACGATAACGCACGACCGCATACTGCAAGAATCACTGCTGAAAAACTGCGCCAGTTGGAATGGGAAGTTCTCCCTCAACCTGCATATTCTCCTGATATTGCCCCTTCCGATTACCATTTGTTTCGTTCTTTGCAAAACTTTCTTCTTGGAAAAAAATTTAATAATGAAGAATGCCTCAAAAATGCATTGACCGAATTTTTTGCATCAAAATCACAAGAATTTTACAACAGAGGGATTAAAATGCTTCCTGAGCGTTGGGCACAAGTAGTAGAAAACAACGGCAACTATATTGTTGATTAAATTTTGTTGTATTGTTTAAATAAATTCGATTTTAAAAAAGTATTAGAAAACGACATTAATTATTACTAGACCTAATAGAAGACATTTTGTATAGAATTTAAAGACTTGAACATGGTTGCTCCACAGGGTCAATTTTCCATAGATACTAAAATGGATATCTCTGTTTACTATTTGTTATAATTACATTTAAGAGATTCTAATAAAATATACTTTTTCTTTGTTATTTTATGTAGGATAATGTGAAGAGTGAAGATAAAGATCAGAAATCCAAGGAGAATGGTGCAAGTGTATGATAATACGTGTAATGGCAAAGAAATGGTGTTAAATAATGTAATATAAAAAATCATGATACAAGAATGTTTGGAAGTGATGCATGTTTGATTTTAGTAGTATAAATATCTGTTAGTACAACCGATGTATAAAGTTTTATGAATGTGAGAGTCTCTGCTTTTGAAAATTGCTTGTAATTCCTGGCATTCAAATTATTAAACACTCCTTGAGTGAAATAATTTTGCATTGCAAAATGTTTTAGGATCAACTTTGTTATAGTTTTAACACCAATAAACTTCATTAGTTTAATTGACAGTAGAATTTAATTACCAAATGTCTTTTATTAAAATACCTAGGGGGAAAAAGAGAGAATAGAAGAAACAAAAATCTAGAGAATTGCTGTAATTTTATTTATAGGATTACTCATTATTTTAAAATTTTTGGTATTTTTAAGTTTTAGTATAAATTATAAAAAAGCATGCTGCTTAAGTTTTGCAAGTTTTGACCCAGACTTTTTTTACTCGTCATAAAAGGATATTCCTCTAATGTCTGTCTCTGAAAACATTCACTAAAAATTTAATTTATCCAGCAGAGAGTACATAAAAATCTAAGAAGCAATTGACAGTTGATTTTATCTGTGGAAGGCTTTACATAGAATTAACAGTTCTGATGTTAATGTTACTGCTTTCAGTGAATTGTTCAACTTTCTAAGAAGAGCACCCGTATTATAATTTTGAGGATTTTTTACAGTATATATCAAGTGTACAATTCAGTACCAAGCCAGCAGATGTCACTATGATGTCTTAAGTTAAGCATTGTATAATTAAAAATAATATTTTTTATTAGTCTGTGTACTTCCTTCCGAATTGAGTGGATAAATCAGAGTTGATTAGCTGGCCCTCGCCGGTTGGCTTAGTGGATAGAGCGGTTGGCTTAGTGGATAGAGCGTCAGCCTGCAGACTGGAGGGTCACGGGTTTGATTCTGGTCAGGGGCACTTGCCTGGGTTGCAGGCTCCATCCCCGGTGGGGGGCGTGCAGGAGGCAGCCTATCAGTGATTCTCATCATTGATGTTTCTCCTCCCTTTCCCCTTCTCTCTCAAATCAATAAAGATAATATTTTTTAAAAAGTTGATTAGCTGTTGAGTGGAAAAAGTAGGAAATGTGATATACCGTTAAACACTGTTTCTAATCAGGTGGTAGCAGTGTCTGAAGACATTTCTGCTTGTCCCAGCTTGGTGAGTGCTTACTGGCATCTAGGTGCTAGAGGCCAAGGGTGTTGCTAACCATCCTACATTGCATAGGATAGCCCTAATATGTAACCTAAAATGTCAGTAGTACCTGTGTTCAAAAGCTCTGACTTAAAGTAATATATGGTTACATGATATGACTTTAAGTTCCTGTTTCTGGTCTTATTGTTTAACTCAAGTCAGATTACAGATTGATCCATAATTATACAGTTATTTTTGCCATCTTTAAGATGAAACATGGGTGGTTGGAAAGTTGTTGCTTAAGGAAAAATCTTGAAGATAAACTTGTAACTAAAAGTCAGTAAAGAAGGTAGTTTTTCAATAGGAATGTTTTTAAGTGAGAAAAAGAATTATAACATTCACCTCTCAGACTTATTTTACCCAGAGATAATTAAGTCAATACTGGAAGCATGGAGAAAAATAGATAAATCTTTCTATTATTTCTTGAACGTAAATTTCTAAGTTAGGAAAACAAGTTAAAATTTTCTAAGCTGGCTCAGTGGAAGAGAGTCGGCCTGCTTTTGTTAAGTGAAACTTAGTGGAATGATAAAAATTTTTCAGGAATTATTCACACATTTCACTGCCTTATTTTTTTATTCATAAAGTGGGTGGTAATTAGGACATAATTTATTATCTAAACTGGGAACCTTTTGAGAGAAGAGGAAGGTGCTAGAAATATATACACTGAGTGGCCAGATTATTATGATCTCTGAACGCATAATAATCTGGCCACTCAGTGTATAGCCACCAAATATAAATCAGGATTTAGATGTCTAAGGCAAACCGATTCTTGCCTATTTATATATTATTCACCTTATGAATAGGTAATATTGACCCTCTTTTGGTGTTCACTAGTTGAAAAACAAGCCTCAACCTCAGGTTTGTACACAAATGAAGATTAAGTCCCAAAGTGCTTTTGACTATAAATTATATAGTTTTTCTTACGTGTATAGAGGACATATGATGTGAGATAGTCACTGAGTCAGCTCCTTATTTCAGCCCCATTAATGATGGAGTCTGCATGTGATCATTAGGTTTAAGAACCTGAGGCAGTGGTTCTTAAACTAGCATGCATCAGCATCACCTGGAAGGCTCGTTACACTACTGATGGGAACTAGAACTTCGATTGAGAAGGTCTAGGGTAGAGCCCAGGAATTCGCATTTCTAACAAGTGCCAGGTACTGACTGCAGCTGCTGTTCTAGATGAACCAGAGAACCTCCGAACTCAGGTATACACACACAGCGGATAATTCCCTACTTCATATGTGAATGAAAACATTAGCAACAACAAAAAACTCTGAGAAAAGCAGAGGTTGTCTTGGAGATATTCTGAGCAGCTTAGACTTTTACTTTAAGGGTAAATATTACTACATTGGCTAAGCCGTGTTTGTTGAATGAATGAATGCAAGTCTAGGAACCTGCAGGATATAGCACTTTGAAAACCTACTTTGAGATAGTTTTTTTATGGGAAAGGTCATAACTGCTCAAGCAACTGAATTAAGCTCAGGAAAATCCAACTATATAGGCTTCTTTGTTTTCACTTCTCACCCTCAAGCTGAAAAGTGGCTAATTCCTCTGTGAGGTATCACATTCTGAACAATCTGCCCAGCTGCGTGGCTCAGTGGTTGAGTGTCAACCCAGGAATCAAGAGGTCACCAGTTCTGGTCAGGGCATATGCCCGGGTTTCAGGCTCGATCCCTGAAGGGACTGTGCAGAAGGCAGCCGTTCGATGATTCTCATCATCGAACTTTCTCTCCTTCTGCCTCTCTGAAATCAATAAAAGGATAAAATTTTTTTTGAGGGTTAGAGGCGAGCGGCCGCTGCCTTTTTTGTCAGTAAAGAAGGTAGTTTTTTTTGGGGGGGGAAGGTGTGCTCAGGAGCTCTTGGTGGGGTGGCTGCGCAGGATGGCGCTGGCCCGGCGGACGGCGGCCATGCGCAGGCCCGGGCGGTGCTTGTTCTTGCGGATCGTGCGCCGGATGCTGCTCAGCGCGGCCCGCGCGTTCCCGTCGGGGGGGGGGGGGGGGGGTGCGCACGCAGCAGGTGGCCGGCTCCATGCCCACCGCCTTGCGGTGGGTCAGGCCGTTGTGGCGAAGGGAGTGGCGGGCCTTCAGGTTACTGGGCTCGGTGCTGTAGGTCTGCTTGCTCCTCTTGACCAGGAAGCTGGAGCAGTTCCGCACGGTCATCCATTGCAGGTGGGCGGGCATGGCGGCAGCTCCTCGCGCTGCGGCTAAAAGGATAATTTTTAAAACTTCGGAACAACCTAATAGGGAGTGTCTGTGTGTGGTCAGCGCGGTCTCTGCTGTCTACGGGGTGAGTGCTGAGCAGGATGCTCAGACAGGATGCGAAGGTTTGGCGCTTCCTGTGCCGGGGCCTGTCACCTGGCTTGGGCAGGAGCGCAGAGTAGGTTGCTGGGCTGAGAGGGGGAAGTAAAGAGACACCAAAGCCTTTTTGACAGTGAGGTCTCAAGAGAATGACAAGGCAAGGATTAGGCAGATATCAGAAGCAAGAAGGGAGCATCTCTTGAACATACGTGAGCAAAGGCTATCATTTCAATTCTCTGTCTCCAGCCGGAGGCTAGTCACCTGCCTGAATCTTAAAGGGACTGACTAATCTTCAAGGCAGTGCGTTCCCCCTCTGAAGCCTTAACCAAAGAGCCTTGTGTTTTCTCCAGGAGGCAAAAGGGGAGTTTCCTTGACTAGTTAGGCCCGTTTAGAGAAATGGCTTTGCGTGGGCAAGGCGGTGGTGAGAGAAACTTAGTTGGGCTAAGTTAGATACATTTCCAAACATTGAGTTCCAGAGCTAGAGTATGTTGCAGTCAATGGGACCGGTGATGTGTGGGGGGTCATCCTGTGTTGCTCCCCCAGGCCCTACCCAGGGATGGACAGTAATCCAGATTACTGTGCACAGGCTGACTTCGCTGTCCGAAGGTCTAATCTGGTGGGGGGAGAGAGAAAAAAAGGGGGCGAGGAGACGGTAATCCTCTAGTCTAGGCTGTGTCAGTCTTACTGAAAATCAGGCAGCGTGTAATCTTAATTGCAGGGAAGTTGATTGGTTTGGATTATAACTCAGCCAGTGGCAGGGCCATGCGGACAGAAGCTAGCCCCCCAGAAAGAGGATTTAGCAGACTGTCAGAGCCCCAGCCACAGCGGCAGGAGGCAGAAGCAGGCCCCAAGTTCAGCGAACAATTTAGGCAGGAGTCAAGATAGAGGCTCACTTATACGATTTTGATTGAAGACAAGAGCCCTGTGAGGGTGGAGGCATTTGGGTTTATACCACATTTAGGACAATCAAAGGAATCCATTCTAGCCATTGATGTGATGAACACCCTAAAATGTCAGGCTGCTTGGATTAGCTCAAAAACCTCGTGCGTCTAAATGTGCAGTTCAGAGAAAACCTACTTACAGCAGTGCAGGGCTAAAATGCGGGGTTAACCACAGGTGGTTTTACAGAGATTTATTAATCAAAAATATCTAGGCATTTTAATATATTTAATATATTTTGTTAGAGCCAGCCTAATTTCAAATTGCAGGAAATCAAATTCAGAGGAAATCAGGATTTGGAATAAAAGAAGAACTCTGCCATTCAGATGTTAAGCCTTGAGCTCTGCTGTTAATTTTCCTGTTTTATTTTTATTTATTTTTTATTTAATTTTAAAAAATATATATTTTATTTATTTTTTGAGAGAGGAAGAGAGAGGGATAGAGAGTTAGAAACATCAGTGAGAGAGAATCATCGACCTGCTGCCTCCTGCACACCCCCTACTGGGGATGTGCCCGCAACCAATGTACATGCCCTTGACCCGAATCGAACCTGGGACCTTCCAGTCCGCAGGCTGATGCTCTATCCACTGAGCCAAACCGGTTTCGGCCCCTGTTTTATTTTCATTTTTTAAAAATATATTTTATTGATTTTTTACAGAGAGGAAGGGGGAGGGATAGAGAGTTAGAAACATTCAAGAGAGAGAAACATCAATCAGCTGCCTCCTGTACTGGGGATGTGACCACAACCAAAGTACACGTCCTTGACCGGGATTGAACTGAGGACCCTTCAGTCTGAAGACCAACACTCTATTCACTAAGCCAAACCGGTTAAGATGACAAATTCTTTGCTTATCAGAATCAAGGGTCATATCAGAATTTTTTAAAATTGATAGAGCTCTTAGTAGTCTATGCTTCAGCAAAAGAGAAAAAGAAAAAGAAAAATTTGGTCATGTTATTTTCCCCATTTTAAAGGCAAGAAAATACAACCAAAAAATAAGTTATTCCATCGTGGTGCACAAATAAATGGTAAAGTTTTAATATTTCACATCCTTGGGCTTCAATAAAACCTCAGAGCCACATGCTAGGTGAACCTGTCTTTTTATAAGAGTGCATCTCTAAATGCAGCTCACTGTTTACCTCAAGCCTTTTTATCTTCCTCCGGCAGGGAAAGAGCAGAATCTCCTCCGAATATAGTGTAAAGAATAAATATTTAATGGCCATTCATCTTCTTTCTTAGCCAGATGGACCTGTTGAAAGCCAGTTCCTGGCCACACAAAGACCGCTTGCCATTTCTGACTATAACATAAATATTTAATGAAAACCTACGTTAGCCCATTCTTCCTTAAGGCATAAAGTGCACTTGTAACCTTGGGCTACACTTATGCCATGTTCCACACCCATCTGTTATTGTCCCAGGCCTTTTGTACTCAGGAGGCATTCACCTGGCTGTGAAATGTTTCCAGAGGTGAATATTTAACCTTTGTGCTACTGTTTTCAGAAGAGCACCAACCAACCAACTACCACCATAAGAACTGGATTTTGAAATAAAATGAGAATTCTGTGCTATTCTAGAGCAAATCCTTTCAGCCACAGTTGTTTCTGTAATGCCTTAGTCATGTTAGCTCTTCATTGTGGCGAGTCTCCAGCAGTCAGCAGATTGCCGAGAAAAACGGAAGCTTGCCCTGGTCAGTGTAGCTCAGTGGGTTGGAGTGTTTTCCTCCATGAAAGGGTGGCAGGTTCAATTCCCAGTCAGGGCACATACCTAGGTTTTGAATTCAACTCCTGGTCAATACACATATGGGAGGCAATTGATCAATGTTTCTCTCTCTCTCTCAAATCAATATAAAATAAAAAATTTTTAGCTCAGATGGTGTGGTTCAGTGGTTGAGCATCAACCTCTGAACCAGGAGGTCATGGTTTGATTTCTGATCAGGTTACATGCCCGATTGTGAGGCAGCCAGTCAATGATTTTCTTTCATCATTGATGTTTCTAAAAAAATAGCAAACTCTTTCCAAGTCACTCTGTCTTCATCTATCTCTCTCTTCCTGTGTGGAAATCAATAAAAATATAATTTAAAAAAATAGCGAACTTTTTTTTTATTTTATTGATATTTTACAGAGAGGAGAAAGGGAGAGAGATAGAGAGCTAGAAACGTTGATGAGAGAGACATCGACCAACTGCCTCCAGCACACCCCCTATCGGGGATGTGCCCCCAACCAATGTACATGCCCTTGACGGGAATCGAACCTGGGACCTTTCAGTCCCCAGACGCTCTACCACTGAGCCAAACTGGTTTTGGCAAAAATAGCAAACTCTTAAGTCCCTTTATCTTCAAGAGAAAACTTTTAAAACATTACTATGGATAGATAAAAATTATACAATATAAAATTACTATGAATTTAAAACAAAGGCACAACTCAATAAGGGAAAATGTTTTTTTTTCAATGTCCTCAATTTTTAACCTGTAGAAAATTAAAAGCTATCTTATAATACAAAACATGATTTTAGATACTTGAATCATTCTTGGGTAGACACTGTAGAAAGTATTAGACTTTTTAAGATGTATTTTATAGTGTACTTAGTATTAGCCGTACTGGAATGAGGCAGAAAATGATGACAAGCATAGAGAGGATTTTGAATCTCAACAGGATATATACTTGCATTTTTTTTTATTTTTTTTTTAGAAAATGGGGAAAATAACTTAGTGTAACATATATAGATAATAGACTTATTAGCCATCATATAGAAAATGAGAACACATAGTGAATGCCAAAAATGGAATTGGTAGCATGTAAGAAATTTTATTTGCTTTATCCATTTAACAAAATTCCCTAAGGAACAGATGAATGAATATATGTTACTTTGCAAATACATTCTAGACTCCAGTACATGCTATCTTAACACTTTCATTGAAATATGAGGGCTGAGAACGGGGGAGGGATATTACAATCTGTATTGTTAAATTTCTAAGGTGCTTACAGGTTTGATTGTTTTTTTTTTTTGCATCAGGCATGTATTCATAGATGGCATATGTAGGAGATATAATAAAGTTGGATAGAGGGTAAGACAGTATCTGGGATGTGTGGTCTGCCTTCTTCCTCAGGCGAGTGCTAGGTGGTACTAAATACATTCTAGACTCCAGAACATGCTATCCTAACAAAGCACTTTCATTGAAATATAAGGGCTGAGGACAGGGGAGAGGTATATTAAAACCAATATTAAAACCAATATTAAAACCAGTCTATATAATAAATTTCTAAGGTGCTTAGTCTTTTGCATCATACATGTATTCATAGATGGCATATGTAGGGGTATAATAAAGTTGGATAGAAGGTTGCACAGTATCTGGGATGTGTGGTCTGCCTTCTTCCTCAGGAAAGTGCTAGGTGGTATTAAAAGGGGCCGTCTGCTCATATTGCTGGGATGGTTGCAGAGATTGTGGTGGTAGATGTGCATAAAAATATTGGCGGCTATGCACTTTCCTAGTTAATCAAGGACATACTATATGTACTGGCTACCAGTATATCCCTTAGTGTTTCAATATGATGTCAGAGGAATATAATGTGGTCCTTTCTAGGTTATGTCATTTCAGGTATTAAAATGGAAGAAATTATTATGTTGAAGCTAATTTGCATTAGTTAGAGAACATTTTACAAACAACAGGCAATGGCTTAGGCTAATTGAGGGGAAAAAAAATCTAAGAACTTATTGAAGATTTAGTGCTGACACTTAATGGCTTAAAGTAACAGTTTAAACAGCCCGATCTTTCAAAAAAAAGGAATTGAAGAGTGGAAAACTTTCATTTGAGTTGCAGACAAAGGATAACTCATCACTACCACCACCACTACTAGCCCAGTGTCTCTCCTGTTTTACCTTCCAAGTTATCAGTACAGATTGGTCAGGGATAGATGTTCACTGGGGATAACGGGGCCGGATGATGACAGGAAGGCAGAGAAGTAATGA